CAATGCAGCCCTAAATTACTGTCTAGATGCAATGTCACCCAGTCCACATTTTTTTTCTTTGCAAGTCTTGCAACTTCGCTACTAAAACATCTCTTTCATAGTGAGCTATTATATCATGTCTGCAGAATATTTTGTGAAACTCAGATTAGAAGCAGTCACTTGCTTCTTGTAAATATAATTTGATTAACACCTCCTTCACTTCACATCAAGAGACCAATCTGCGAAGAATGCATATGAAGAGAAATATTAATCAATAATTCCTAGTGGTTCCTGGATTGTATTCTTGATGTTCAGAATTAACAGTCACCAACGATAGAATAGTCTACTGCTCTGTTCAATATTTAACCCCATCTGCTGACATCCATCATTGTGACTAATTGTGAGAAGGGGAGGGGATGCTCCAGATACATTTACCTATTTTGGAAGAGTGAAATCTGTAAATAAAGAAATTGCCATTAGCACACAGCGAAGCACACAGGATAGAGTGGACAATTCCTCTTTTCTGCCATAGCTTCCTCCTCTCCTATCCCTCCTTAAAACTGTCTAAATTGGTGCGTGTGAATTATCAAGTTTACATCTGTACTATATGGAAAATATGCCTTTTTGTCCATCCTAAATGTCTCGCCATCTAATTTCACTAGATAACCTCAATTTCTAACACTATGAGATATTGTAATCTTGGTGTTTCTGAGCTTGTGTTTTCCCCTGCAGACATTTCATTACCGGGATAGGTGACATTATCAGTCCAAGGGGGAGTGGCGTTTGTTGGGTCTTTATATGTAGTACAGTAGTTTGTCCTACCTAACTTGCTTGGGGTATTGTTTCTTTCTTGATTGTTCCCATTTATCTGGTGCTGATCCCTGCTTATCTGGGTGTTGGTTAGCAGGTGTAAGATGAGAATGAAAATGCTGGGGCTGTTTGCCCCTTTCCTTGACCTTTGGTTGCATCCTTTTTTTAAAATGCTTTTTTGAATGGTTTATAGATGAAGCTTATCTCGTGAGAGAATGAGAGGAGAAAAAACTTGTATCTACTTTCTCCATCCCAGGGACCATGCTTTCTCCGCCGATCTTGCTATATTTTTTCTAAACTAAAAAGACCCCAATATATGTATGCCTTTATGTATAGGAGAGTTCCTCCACCCCTCTGTTTTGATTGTACTTTTTGTAGTTGTTTCAAATTGTTTAAACTTACAGTTTAAAAACTATCTAACCTGTGGCCATGAAAATACTACACAGCAGTGAGTTCTGTAAATTGGGATCATTTTTGTCTCTGTCAACTACCTGGTTTTTATAGTCCAATTCTTTCATTCCTTCAGATCGCTTCACTCTGATACTGAACGAACTCAAGGGAGAAGCAGAAAAAGCATCAAAGTCTCTCTAGAAGCAGATAGATATTGCTTGGACATGAGATGTTAATGGCTGAAGGTGAGATAACGGGTTAATCCTGGGGGACTTCAATCTGCCTTCCCTAGGAATGGGGTCGGAGGTGACTCAGGAGTTCATGGTTTCCATGACAGCCATGGACCTACCCCAGGTCATCCAGAGTCCAACTTGGGACAGTGGTCACGCTCAGGATCTGGTGTTCCTGTAAGAGCAGTGGCAATGTGATCTGGAATTGGGAGAGCTTTTGGTGTCTCGTCATGGTCAGATCATGCTCCGATTTCTATGAGATCCTCTAGTACCACTATCCACTGCAGGGAAGCTGGACCCATTAGACTGGTCTGCCCCCAGCAACTGATGGACCCAGATGAGTTTCAGAGGGATCTGAGGGTTGTCCATGTGGTTCTGCTGCATGGTCCATCCGAAGCCTTGGCTGCTGCTTGGAATAAGGGGATGGCTGAGGCCTTGGATTGGATTGCACCCATGCAACCTCTCCCCTCTTGGGGATCTCATCACTCCCCGTGGTTCACGGAGGCATTGAGGGAGATGAAATAGGAAAAGAGACACTCTAGAGAGTGTTGCTGGCACTCAACAAAAAACAAACTCGACCAAACACAGGTTAGAACTGCTATTAAGGCCTACCTTGTGGTGGTAAGGGCGGCGAAGCATCAGTACTTCTCTGCCCTTATTGCATCCACAGATTGCCATCCCACAGCCCTGTTCCAGGTGACACAAACCCTCTTGGATAAAGGGGGTGTGGGAAACCTCTTATAAGGGCATGTGGAAGAATTTGCGCAACATCTGTCAGATAAAATCACTCTGATTCATTTCCAGTTGGATGCTGGCTTTCCTATAGGTCCATAGGAGATGCCTAGGGAGGAGTCTTGCCCAGTTATCTGGGAATGGTTTGATCCTGTTGGGCCTGAGGAAGCAGACAGGGTCCTCAGGTCTCTGAGCTCAGCCACCTGTTCTTTAGACCCATTCCCCTCCTGGCTGGTTAAAGCAGTCTGGGGGGTATCGTGTGAGTGGGTTCAAGTGGTGATTAATTCTTCTTTGAGTGAGGGGGTTGTTCCTCTACTCTTTAAGAGGCCTTGGTCTGCCCCCTCCTCAAAAAGCCATTGCTGGACAATTTTTGTCCAGTATCTCACCTCCCTTCTTTGGGGAAGATGGTGGTGAAGGTGATTGTGCAACAGCTTCAGAGGTCCTTGGAGAAAGCAGTTTATCTGGATCCTTTTCAGTCAGAATTCAGACCTGGGTATGGGATGGAAACAGCATTGATCGCGCTTTTGGATGACCACTGGCATGGGCAGGATGCGGGCTGAGCTTCCATCCTTGCCTTACTTGACCTCCTGGCAGTTTTCAACACCATTGACCATGGTATCCTTTTGGATCAGCTGAGAGGATTAGGGGTGGGAGGCACAGTGTTGTGCTGGTTCACCTCCTTCCCTCAGGGCCAATTCCAGTCAGTGTTGATTGGGGAGGAGAGGTCCCACCCTCGGCCCCTACTATGTGGGGTGCCACTGGGTTTGATGCTTTCTCCTCTCCTTTTTAACATCTACATGAGGCCCCTGGGTGAGCTGAGCCATCATTATGGGGTGAGGCATCATCAGCATACTCCTCCCAGGAATCTCCTCTGGACCTGTAGCAAAGCCAGCATCCCAATTATATATCTCTACCCCAGGCGTATTAAGCAATGCTGTGAACGTCTTATCCTGGTGCCTGGAGGCTGTGAGGGGCTGGATGGAGAACAACAGGCTTCAGTTGAACCCTGGTAAGACTGAGTGGTCCTGGGTTTTGGGGCCCACTAGTTCTGGGACTATGACATCTTTGGTGCTCGATGGTGTGGCACTACCCCAGACAGACCCAATGCGTAATCTGGGGCTCTTCCTGCTTGAGGAGCAGGTGGCAGTCATGGCTAGGAGGGCCTCTGCACAGCTTCCTCTTGTGTGCCAGTTGTGCCCATTTCTGGACCAGCAGGCCCTGCTTACAGCCACCTCCAGATTGGACTGCTGTAATGCGCTCTATGTGGGGCTGCCCTTGAAGAGTATCCAGAAGCTTCAGCTGGTACAGAATGCAGCAGCGCAGGTAGTTATGTGCACTCCTAGAACAGTGCATGTTACACCTCTGCTCCGTGAGTTTCATTGGTTGCCAGTTTGCTTCCAGGTCCAATTCAAGGTGCTGGCTTTAACCTTTAAAGCCCTTCATGGCATGGGGCTGGGTTATCTGAGGGACCACATCTCCCCAACTACATCAGCCCACCCCATCAGATCTAGCAGAGAAGACATGTTGAGGGTACCATCAGCTAGGGGCGTACATTTGGTGGGTCCCAGGTGTCGGGCCTTCTCTACTGTGGCACTCGCCTTGTGGAACATTCTCCACCACCACCACCCCTGATATTAGATTAGCTCCATCCCTTTTGACCTTCTAGAAGTCCCTCAAGACCTGGTTATGTCACCAGGCCTAGGGCTCCTGGGAACTGGAGACATGCTTAGATGGCTCCATTGCTGAGTCAGCTATCCTTATTCTCTCTTGCCTAGGGTTTTACATTTGTCTTTTTATCATATTTATCTTTTAATATTGATTGTTGTAAGCCACCCAGAGTCACTCTTCTGTGAGATGGGCAGCTATACACATTTGATTAAATAAATAAATAAATAAATAAATAAATAAATAACTCATAAGTAAGTTCAATGATAAGGTCATTCTGAATTTCCCAGGCTTATAAAATGGCTAAACTTAAGATTAATTATATTTCGCCGTTTCATCTGGTATGTTTTTGTATGTTTTATTATTTTACTAATCTTTGAAATAGTTTTCATTACTTTGCTCTCTGCTCTGAGAAACCTACATAGAAGTAGGATATAAATTATGTAAACGAGTGAAGTTAAGTCACCTTAAGCAAATCGGCTTCTTAGTTTAAAAATGGAAGACTAACATGCTTAGAGGAGGCCAGAAAGGACTTTGCATTACACAACCGCTATTGCACTAATAGGTAAAGTGCTAAGGATTTGGGGGAACAAAATGCATGTGTAGAGATGGACATTTAGCATCACCACCAAATCCAAGGGGGTATGGAGGAGACGGGTCTCTCTTACGACCTTTCACTTTTGAATGACAGCAGCGTCAAGTGGGAAAACGGGCTGAGAACATCTGAAGAAAAGTCGTATTAGAGAGGTAAGGAAGAGCGTCTTCCTCCCCGCGTCGCCCCCGATCCTGCCCTGTCCTGCCCTGCCCTTCGTACGACAGCAGGAGCTCGCTGGGAGGGCAGCGCGAGGTCAGGAGCGACCTCTGCTTGCTTACCTGCAGCTGAGCGTTCTCGTCTGTCAGGTTGGTGTTGTAATTCCAGCTGGCGGAGACGCTTTCGAAGAACACAGTTTCCCCGGTGCTGTTATAGTCTTTGGCGAACAGGCGGGCCCCTTCCTCGGTGTTGTTGTAATTAGGAGGCATCAGGGAGGCATCCAAGGCGAATGCCACCCCAAAGCAGACCGAGAGGAAAAATCCCGCCACCGGAGGCATCTTGGCAGGAGGCGCAGCTCCCCTGCGAGCGCCAGATTATAAACGCCGCTCTCCCGCAGACCCTGCCCACGACGCCTCCCCGCGCTCAGCTTGGAGCAGATAAGCTGGAAGGCTGCCCAGCTTTCGGTCGCCCTGCCCGCCTTTCAGCAGCGGCTCTGAAGCCACAACCGTAACACCAGCCGCGGCGGCAGCGGCAAATCGCCCGCTGAAAGGACAGCCCCTTGCCTTGCCCAGGTCCCCTCAGCGGGAGGGAAAGAGCCAAACGGAGCGGGGAAGAAGGAGAGCGGGCGGAGGTGAGGAAAGAAGCCACATCGCGCCTTTCAGGGAAAAGGGAAAACCAAGGACTACGGCCAGGCGAAATGGGCAGTTAGGAGGGCTTGGGAGAACAACAGCCTGCAAAGCGAGCCTGCTGCCATGAGGCGAGTGTCTCAGCCAGCAGACAGGGCGCCCTCCACACCATTCCTCCTGACCACCACTCCGCGCTTGTGAACGCAGCTGCCTTGCCCTCCCCCCACCTTGCAAACAGCCTCCTGGGTCACACGGTAGCCCATGTTGTCCCATTGCCAGTGCCGAAATAAGGATTCAGGTACCAGCCGATGTGGGTGGGATACAAATGCACAAGGGCTGGAAGCTCCAGCCTATCCTTTGCCCCAGTGCAACATGTCCTGAGTTAGCCCTGAAGAAGGGAAGGGATTGCTTCTGGCAACCTGAAGATGTAGAGCTGGAAACTCCTCTCCAATCCGCTGGGAAAAACTGTTTATCTGAAATGATTGCTTCCTGACCTGTGGTCAGTTGGTCTGAAGATCAGTTGTATCTGTGGAGGTTGGAGGGCAAAACTCTATCGCCCCCTCAGCAGAATAAGCAGATGGGCCTTCATACATATAGTAGATAGATACACACACACAATGTGTCATCAGGTTGGTGTCAACTCTTAGCAATCACATAGATGGATTTTCTCCAGGATGATCTATTTCCAACCTGGTCCTTCAGATCCTTCAAAAATGCACCCATCACCAACGTAACTGAGTCCATCCACCTTGCTGGTGTTGTCCTCTTTTTCCCTTTCCTTCCACTTTTCCCAGCATTATAAACTTCTCAAGAGACCTAGGCCTTCATAGTAATGTGTCTAAAATATAATCTGAGGCAATTGCGCTTCAAGTGAGAACTCTGGATTAATTTGTTCAGAGATCCATTTGTTCATTTTCTTGGCTATCCATGGCATTCCCAGGAGTCTTCTCCACTTTCACAACCATAGAGTGCTACAGAGAAAACTATTTCCTGCATGATGCTGATCTACGTAGGTATAGACACATCCTGGCATCTGAATATCTTTTCCAAGACCTTCATTGCTGCCCTTCCAAGTGGTAGTCTGCAACTTGGAAGGGCAGCAGACCTTCCAGTGAAGGCCTTGGGAAAGATATTCAGATTGACTGCTGGTTCCTTTACTGTTGTTATTCAGTCTTAAAAGGCAAAAGCTTTCGGTATCTTCATTGTCAATTCTAAGGCTAGTTGCTGTACCTGTTGTCATTAGTTTGGTCTTCTTTATATTTAATCTTAGTCCCATTTTTCACTGTGTTCCTTCATTTTCATTATTAGAGCTTCAGATCATTTGCATATTCAGCTATCAGAGTAATGTCACCAGCATAGTGCAGGTTATTAACGTTTCTTCTTCCAATTTTAAAGCCATGCTCATCTTCTTCCAATCTAGCTTCCCTCAAGCCTGTAGGTTGAATAAATAAATAAGGGGAGACTATGCAGCTTTTTCTCACTCCTTTGCTAACCTTGAGTCATTCTGTTTCACCATGTTCTGTCCAGATTGTAGCTTTGTGACCTGTGTATAGTTTTTGCATGAGGACAATGAGATGTTCTGATATTCCCGTTTTTCTAAGCACATCCCACACCTTGACATGATCAATTCAACCAAAGACCTCAAAAGCCCACTGAATGTGAGAATGTATATTTTCCAATTAAAAAAAACAAACAACTATGCCATACACCAGGCCTAGACATCATTCCTCTCTCTGCCACCTGTGACCCTTAGAGTGAAAAAAGCAAGGGGGAGAGGTTGGTACTTTTGCCCCCATGGTCAGCAAATTATCTATGGGTGGGACAGGGAGAAATCTGCAACAACACGCATGTACTTGCTACCTCTTCCTAATGCTGCTTGTGGACCACCCATTGTTGCTTCTTTTTAGGTAATAGCTGGGGTGCTTTATAACTGTTCAGAGAATGAAAGTGTAGAAATGGTGTGTGGTGCCTATAGCTGATCTTCTGCAGCAGCTGTTGATCTCAACCACCTTTCTATTGTTCATTTCCCACTCACTGTTTTTCTTACTTGATATTTACATTGAAACATTCATTCATATATTTACATTCAGCACTATTCCAACTTTTAGCAACCGCTAAATTTTGAAATGTATTGGACTTTAGTAACACCATGGCTAGTGAGGCTGGGAATATGCATCTGAAAGGTACAGGATTGGTAAAGTTGCTATATTTAAAAAAAAAAAAATCCAAGGAAATATTAACTGTTCATGAGTGCTGCTAACAGGAAAAGGAGTTTCATGCTTCAAAGTAGGCATCTTTATTTTCCCATTTTCACTGGAACAATTTGAGCCTGGAGGCTCTTTTCTTTCACTTCCTTTTAAAATATGTTTAGCTAAACTCATCCTTCCTTCAAGGAGCTCTGAATAGCACACACATTTTATGCTTTTATTTATAAAGTAATGCTGAGAGATAGTATAGGTAAGTAAGTAGGCTTTGTGAGTGAGCGGGGACTTAGAATAAGGATTTCTACACCAGCTGTTACATGTGGAAGTTCCTAACTGTTCAGCACGTTTAGTAGTGTAACTTATTGGTCAATGAAAATCCTCCTCCCTTCAACTTCCCAGAGCTGTAATCTTCACCTGTGCAAGGGCTCCCTTTACGTGTTTGGAAGATACTGCAAGCCTAGAATGCTGTTTCCCAGCTATTGACAGGAGCCAGAGATTGCAAGTATCCATTTTAGTCTGATTTGCAGAGTTAGATTATTTCCTGGCTCAGTTCTAAGTTTTGCTTTTATACGAGAACAGAAGAGTCATGATATATCAGACCAGCTTTCTGTTTCCAGAGAGGACAAGCAGGTGCCCATGGAAAGCCCACAAGCAGGGCATGTTCATATTGCCCTGCAATTGTTGTCAGGAAACATATAACACCCAGTATGGGGCATAGCACACAGTAATCATGAGTAGTAGCCCTTGGTAGCCTTATATTCCATATATTTGTTTAATGCATCCACATATTTGTTTAATCTTCTTGTTGTTTCAACTGGTGGCATATTTTGAAAAAAGTGGTCCATGCTCTGAGTAACTTTCTACAGTATACAGTATCTTTTCCACCCATCTTTCTACTGATAAACGTTATATACTTTTTTTTCTGTTGTAAGTTGCCAGTTCTGCATCTTTCTAAAGTATGACCCAAGCTGTTTGCAATATTTCAAGTACTGTGTGAAGCATAAACTTGTTTGAAGACATAATATTTGCAATTTTATTTTTGCTTCCTTTCCCAGTGACTCCCAAGACTGAATGTGCCTTTTTCATGGCAGCTGTTTGTTTGCCCTGAACCATCCATTACTCTCTAAGATTTCTTTCCCAGTCAGTCAGCTCATATGATTCATTGAATATTTGTAGATAAGATTTTTTTTGCCCCAGTGTGCATTATGAAAATGCATTTGTCATTTTCCTGCATATCTCTGCAGATCGCTAATATTATTTTGAAGTTCACAATTTCAAAATAATATTTCACATTTCTTTTTGTTTTACCAATTTTAAATATGTTTGACCTTTAAAATCCTACAGCACTGCCTTTTACTATATGTTCTTTTCTGCTTCTCCATTTATATTTTGGACCTTTACTTCTGACTCCTTAACCCTATGAAAAACAATGAGTAGTCCACAAGATGTATGACTTTTTCTGCAATGTTCCAACATTGCAAAATATCTCACAGTAAGTGAGATTAGTTCATGCCTAATATTTTGGGAGATTTAAAGTCAGGCTGTTTATTAAGGCTTTTTGCTGAATGTACTTTTGGCTTGCTATAGAAAGAGTTTTTCTCATCCTTTCATCAGTTATTTCAATATTTTTAATTCATTTAATTATCACTCTTAAGAAATGTTTAAAGATTGAATGATCCTTTCCCATGGAAGCTACCTAAATCCTTTTGGGCATAGGGAAAAGATATTATTGCTTCAGCCACAGAATTTTAAGACAGTCCATATCATTGTTTTCCATCTCTAACCTTCCTGGGTTTTTCCGTGCTTTTTTCTGCCTTTTTCCTTGCCATAGAAAATATGTTACTAAGGAAAAGATGAAATAATTACCCTAATTCATGTACTGTTTCAATTCACCATGCTTCTGATTGAAATCTCTCTTCTAAAGGCGCTATTTATATTAGAACGAATTCTCCCCATGCTGATAATGTGAAATTATACCCTGAAGCAAATATCAACTTTAGAGGGAAGATTTTTCTAGATCTTCCCCTGTCCACACCTACTACAGTCCTAAAAGTTACAACTCCAGAAGTATGTCTCCTAAGCTAAGACAAACTGCATTTTTAAAAAGCCTGCATGTTAAATGCAAACATATATGAAGGTCAAGTCTGGTTTAGTCCTCTGGGTGCTCCTGCCCCCTCTTGGAATTGAGAGTTACAACCCAAAGTGTTAACTACAATGTGTATTTGATCTCGTTTCTGAAGTCAATAATTGCCTATTTAATTAAGAAAAATCTTGTTAGTTTAATTTATGATTTATATTGTGATGTCATATCTGAGATTATCAAAGCAGTTATCAAAACAGTACACTAAAAGCAGGCTTGGATCTTTAAATAAAAAGAATGAATAATTGGGGTTACAATTTATGAGAGCTGCAGTCCTAACCCTAATCCATTTTAAGAGCACCTTATTGAGAAAGGCTGGCATAGATGAACTTGTGGAGAGGTTTTGCAAAACCTAGAGAGTTGCATTTTTCTCTCCTCCTAATGTAGGTTGTCTATCAAGGCAATGAAGGTAGTTTCAACTTAAGATCTAAAAGTGACAGGTTGAGCAAATCTATTAAATAGTGCAATTCAGTAAGTATTATTAAATATGCACAAGATAAACTCTATAAAACGCATTAGGTGGTAATTACTTTTCTGCTATTTGTGAAGGTCTTACAGGGCTAACAGAATTACTGAGTAAATATATTAACCAAACCAAATTTTAAAAGAAAATTTTATTTTTAAAGAACACATATTTTAAAAAAGCAAATTCAGAAAGCTCTAATGTTAACTAAGTCTTTCTCTTTTCAATACTATCAGCAGTTTAATATCTTATTCCACATTTATAACTATTCTATTGGATGAATGCAATATTCACTAAGTATCACTACTTTCTGCTCTTGGCTGGACCAGGAGACAGTGCCCCAGCTGGCAGAAAACAGATCCACTGTCCTGGAGTGGGGGGCAGGGGGAATCCATTTTTCCATTTTTGTTCCAGAACACTTGGTACAGCCTAGATATCTGGTCTGCAGATTATATCTGGAGATCTCAGCTGACTCTGAAATGTGGAGTTTCTAGTTTTTCCGCTATTCCCTGATTTTTGTACCATCCCCCCAATGAAGAGTTCTGGGAAAATCAAAATCTTACATACTTGCTTGTGCCATTTCATTTAGGCCTAATAAAATTGTTGTCCCATTGTGGATTTTGGATTCATTTATTCTGTAATTCTGGACATATTTGGTAACAGCTTCTAGTGAATACAAGAGATTCTTCATTCCTATATTGTCCTTTAATTAAACATTTAGCTGGGGTCTGGATATAGTAAAATCATTTTGACATCCACCTTGTTTTTCCTTAGTATTTTTTTTTAATTCTTTGAAGAAATAGAAGAGACTGTCTTTTTTTCTGCATTCAGAAAAAGGAAGTACTCTCTAAACTGTTATCTGGTAAATGTTAATTTATCAGAGTTTTTTTTTGTAAAGAGATGTGATGTCACACGATGTTTTCCTTTGGTTATAATACAGAGGTTTCTATCTTTTTTCTTCCACTTCTTCAAGGGTTGAACTAGTTCTCTTTCCAATTCCAGAGTTTCCTCAATTTTTTATTATCTTCTTTGTCTATCTCATATAACATGCCATATATTTTTTTTCTTATTACCTTTTTATTTCTTGTTTTCTGATTTCCTTTTTTGATCATATTCTAGTCACAGTAATTATCTCTCACAATAATTGCTAATTTGTTCACTCATTCCAACTGATTAAAAGTGGCGTCATTGTTTTCTGTGGGCTAATACATAGTAAACCTTGCATCATGTGCGCTCATAGGTTAGGCCTCTGAATCTGGCCAAAATCCAGGTAACATTTAGATGGTAGCAAAGATAAAGAACCCTCTGCTGCCATCTGGTAGAAAAAATATAGATTTTTGCAACCCAGATCTAGCAGTTCTATTATGGGCAAAGAGCCCTCTTCATTGTGTTTTAAAATTAGTTTTATTCCAGTACCTTAAACAAGCAGTAAATGATATGAATTAGTGAGTATAACTAACAGGACCCTTCTGGGGACAAAGGTGTGATTGCTTTGCCCAATAAGCTTCCCTTTGGGGAGGGGGATATTCCATATAATTTTGTCTTTTTCCTCCTTTATTGCTTATCAACACTCCTTCAAATTTTTATGATTTAGTCTTTCCCACCAATTATCTTCTGAAGTTTCCTCCAATTTTTAACATTGCATCTCAGCCTTTTGGCTGAGATCAAAGATGTAATATGACTTAAGTTAGAAAATGTAAGTTAGAAAACAACAACGACTGTTCTGTCAGCATTTAGCTTACTTAGGGAACAACCCGGTGCAGCTCGGGTGGATAAGTTGTTGTGGGCCTCATTCCCTCAGCATGAAAACGCCTCCATGGTGCAGCTGCAACAATTCTGCCATCACTGCTCAGACAGGAACCTGGTGAGGAAGAGGGCAATGGGGTGGCATCAGAATGGGCATGAACTCTTATGCCCCTTAGACAGCCAAAGGCTGAGGATTAGTTCAGAGTCAAGTGTAAATAATTTCCCTCCTATGGGTATCAATAGAAATAGTAAAATTCTTTAAATAGAGAGGAAGCACATGAGTCCACCATAAATCAACAAAGCATAGAACTAGTGTTTTGTTTGCTATAAATATTCCTCTTTGCTACAGGATTATTTTACTAGTTTCTCTTCAGATATTTTTAATTACTGTACTATGAACATTTTCACTGTTAAATGGAAGGTGATTTCCAGTCAGTATGTTACATCTAATTACAGGAAAAAGTTCCCTGATCCAAGTCCACTTGGTAAGAATGATTTCATTAAATTATCTGTAGCACTCCCTTCAAGAAACAGGTAAGTTGAAAAATGACAATTTAAACAGAAAAGTGGGGGGGGGATCTATTTTGTCTGATAACTTTATCTTGTTACCAGATTCAAGCAAAGCTATGCAACCCTTCAAAGTGTTTCTAGCATAAGTCTACAAGACTGATAATACAGGTCAAACTCTTTGAAAGTATAGCACTCCTCTTTTCTTTATCCTTACAGGAATAATACTGGCCTGGCTGCTTTAAAGTATGGGTAAAAAAAGAAACCAACTCATATGTGTGTGTGCATGTATGTGGGCATGCACACACACATGATTTCTAAGGCCATCTAGTTACAAAGCAACTCTTTGGCAAAGAGAGTAAAAATGTAATAACAAGGATAATGAGATAAAACTGGACATGAGGAGGACAGAAATTTTAATCACATTATACTTCAGCAAGTTCACAAATTGTCCTGGCCTAGCACTTGCCTAGCATGTCTTCTGGGTCCCTTAAGATGACATTGTTTAATTGATGGGACCCAAAGCGTGTTGGAGAAAGGTGGTCCTGTAAAAATGCAGATGCTAAGACCTAAAGGTATAAATTACCATCAGTGCCTTGACTACCACCCAGAAGCCAACTAGCACCTGTGCAGTTTGCAAAGTAGAGGTATTGCATGGGTGTACCAAGATGAACCTGTAACTACTCACATTGCTGCATTCTGGACCAGCTGTAACTTCTAAGTGGTTTTCAAGAAAAGCCCCAAGTAGCTGGTGTTGCAGTAGGTGAGAAGGGCTTCCCAGTCCAGGAATGGGCATAGTTGGTGCATAACATGAATCTATGCTAAGGCCCTCCTAGCTACAGCTGCCACCTGCTCTTCAAACAAGAGTCATGAATCTAGGAGAACCCCAAATTGCATACAAGTTCCATCTAGGGGAGTACAACCTGATTTGAAGGCTTAAACTAAAGCCTTGGGCTTGATGTCTCCCTTCCCCCTGCCCCATAACACTGACTGGAACTGACCCTGAAGAAAGGAAGTGAATCACTGTAGCACAGTGCCCCCAATCCCCAATTCCTGAAATCACTCCAGCAGGATACCATGATTGATGCTTGGAAAAACTCCTGATAGATCAGGAAGGAATAGGATAGTTTCACCACCCTTATTCCAGTCCCACCAGAGATCATCTAAAATGGTGACCAGTACCACCTCAGTAATGTACCAGATCTGAAACTCAACCGAAAAGCATCCAGATAATCCACCTCCTGCACAGTCCTCTGAAGCTGCAAACCTCTCCAGGGAGTTCTAGAAAGAGAAGGCTGGAGACCTCTGAAAATTATCTAATGCTGTTGCATCCATTTTGGCTTCTTGTGGAGGGGGGACACTATTATCTCCTTCAAGGCAGGTAAAACCACTCCCTCGCTCAAGAATGACTTCACCATTGTTTGCATCTAACCACACATCATCTCCCATGTAGCCTTGACCAGTCAAGAGAGACATGAGTCTAACAAACAGGTGGCTAACAGTCCTGAGAACCCTACTGACTTCCTCAAGACTTCAGAGGCTCAAACCCCCAAATAATAGATCAAACAGGTGGCTAACAGTCCTGAGAACCCTACCGACTTCCTCAAGACTTCAGAGGCTCAAACCCCCAAATAATAGATCAAACCCCTGCCTTAACCAGCTTAGAGAGACCTGCCCAGTTGAAGGCCAACTCACAGCAGATTCAAGTGGTTTTATCCATCCGACGTCTAGAATAATCCTCACAGTAGCTCTTCAGATATTCTTCTGACATTTCCCTCCCAAGCAAGGACTGGGTCACCCTGAATAGGGCTGCCAGGTAGTAATTTGCTGATGCATTAGCAGCAGGAAAATTGTTACATTTTGCTCTCTTATCATCAGAATGTGGTCCTTAATGTAGACTCATACATGTGTTTGGTTACACTTGCTCTTTAGTTTCTCCAATGATGCTCTCTCTCTCTCTTCTGTCATTTAATCACCTGCAGCAACTCTATAAACCAAGACATCCCCTGGATTGATGTATAGGGTGATACCACTCAGAAGCAATCTGATCCAAAGCCATAATCACCTGCTTATTCCAGGTGGTGATTAAAGCATCAGTTGGACTGCTGCTCAAAGTGATCAAGAGTGGCCTGATCATGGCAGATGTTAATGTCTCCAACCCTCAGATCATGTTGCAACTTCCCTAAAGCAAAGACCACATCCAATGTGTAATGGCCTATGTGCATGGCACTCTTGATAATATGATCATGATTGCCATGAACTCCTGAACCACTTCAGACTCCATCCCAAAGGAAAGCAAATTGAAGTCACAATCATAAGTTTAAGGAACTCTACCACCAACTTAGCAACAGAATCAAACAGTGCAAGCAGGGGGGCCAGTACAGCAGCAGCAGTCCCAACTGTTTCCTAGAGCCCATCTTCACAAACAGAATATCCGAAGGGCAGCACCACTGATAGCTTCCTGAATGACAATAACCATTCTACCACCACCACCTGCCCTGGCTACATTCACAACTGAGATGGGCATATCTCAGAAAGAGGAACAACCCCCCTTCAAATCGGCCCTCTCGCTCACAATAAGATCAGGAATGAGAGAGGCCTTATGACAAGCCAAACTAGCACTCAGCAGCAGCAGCAGCAGCAGCAGCAGCAGCAGCCAGAGACCAAGGCCACTGAGCAACAACAGCCAATGACCTGTTATTCAGGATGGTCCAGGGGTTAAGAAGGCAGTATCTGCTTCAAGCTTCAAACACAATCTTCCCAGAGATCAAGATTCATTTCACACTTAAAGCAGAATGATTAAAATGAATGGAACTTTGGGCAGCAATAACAAGTGTTGTTGATTTTATTGAGACTAAAGTCTGGTTCTAACCCTGGGCTTTCAAACTAGAAGCTAGAAGAAAGCTAGAAGAAAGCAAGCTAATGTTCAGTAATGGGTGGTGGGAATCTATTTCCTTTCTCTTGCACATTTTGTCCCATGAGTGCCTCACTGTTGTGCTCCCTCTTTGTGTTTTGACTTAGCTGAATACTGTTCACTGGCTGTGTAGACTCAGTAGAAGAAAAATGTTTACCATTTTCCTCTTGAAGAGACCAAATAGTTGCTAAATAGAAGGCTAAATGGGTCTCTTTTGGAGAAGAGACAGAGACTCCTCTGAAATTTCAAGTTCCATCATACTGTGAGCCTTCTGGATTCAGCCACCAAAGACAGATTAAAATAATTTGCCTAGGAATTTAATTTTGGTGTCCTGTATAAAGTACAGTTCTTAATTAGCACGCAATAACGTTTTATTGGCATTTGAAGGCTAAAACAAACTTCAGACGGATCTGAATGTTATACTCTTTCTTAGAAGTATCTGTTCTTTTCCTTTTTAATTGCATCCAATCTGAGGAAAACATTTTACATAACTCACAAACTCATACATCTGACTGTGAACTTTCTGATACAGAAACTATTTCATTGTCCTTGTACTTTTATACTTTTTTTTCTTCAAATACAATCTTTCTGTTTTATCTTAGCAGTAGGTATTTACCACTTCACTGTCCTTCAAACCTGTATTTGAACTAATATTACCATAATCATTTGTTTATTCATTTATTTACTTATATATATATTTTTAATTCTGTTTAGTCTGTGTGCTTTCAAGTTAGCCCTGACTTGTAGTGACTGCCTGGAAAATCCATGCAGGTTTGTCTACAAGATTTTCGGAAGTTTGCCATTGCTTTCTTCTTAGGGCTGAGAGAGATTGACTGACCCAAAGTGACCCAGCTGGCTTTGTACCTATGGTAGGACTAGAACTCACAGTCTCCTGGTTCCTAACCTGGTACCTTTACCCACTACACCAAACTGGCTCTCATAAATATATTAACTACTGCATAATAACTGAGATCCCCACTTGGTCTTGTGGGGGGGACGGTTGCTAGGAGGTGTCCAAAATGCAGGTAGAGCCAGGAGAAAGAGGTGGATCGACCCACAATAAAAGTGATCTGAACAATTTCATACAGGGGAAGGTAATCCTCCTTAAAGGTCAAAACTATCACTTTCGACTGAATCTGAAAACAAATTGGAAGTTAGCTGTTTCCATAAAAGGGATGCATAGTTTCTATATTCTGTTCCAAATACTCTTCAAAGGCAGCCTTACTAGACTGCATAGCAATAGCCCAGACCTATTCCAATTAATTTGTATGCGTTTCTGCCTGGAGCTTAGGAGGGATAAATGAGAAAAGGTATTTTTTCCCAAGCTGTAAAGGGCTTTACAAGCTAATATCAGGACAAATAGAATTGCATGCTCCAAATTGTGAAGATGAAAAAAAGGTATAGTCCATATACCCTTTTTCATGCTTTAATTTTTTTATAGTTATGAATTTATAAACCACTTCACTAGAAAGACTCTGTAGCGTGTAAGAGCAACAGCAAAGGCATTACAACAATAAATGCAATAAAACCCAATAAAATCTTACACTTCACAGGAGAGTTAATTGCAGCATTTCACAGGTTTCGTGGAAAACCTCTTCTTCAGAGGACATTTTTACGTATGTATACTTCAATATAATTACAAATAAAGCACCCAAAGAACACATTGACCAGTATGAAATGATATGGGTTATGCAAAAAGAAACTGATTACTACAAAAAAAAAAAACCAGAACAAAAGAATGCATAATAACATTTTTGAGCTGAGAATGAGTTATGAGAAACTCATGAGAATGAGTAATAAGAAACTTAGGGAAAAAATCTATTGTCAAATTAAAAATAAGAGCATAAATATACATATGAGTACAGCCCACAAAAATTAAATGGAGTTTAACAAAATAAAAAGCACTGTTTTGTATTTCATACGAATGTTTGGCAATAATAACCACCTGGGGCGGGGAGGGAAGACATCAAGCGTGGGGATGGCTAGCCCCTTAGAGGCCTGAGGTCTTCAGCTCTGGAACCATAATCTTCTTGGACTCTTTCTTTCTCTTTTTGGTGATATTTTGAATAAATTTTTATGTTTTATGTATTTATATATATTTATTGTTTTAATGGTTTGTGTGAGCCGCCCAGAGTCCCCCACTGAGGGGAGATGGGCGGAGATAAATTTAATAAATAAATAAATAAACACACACTTTTTCCAATTACACACATTATGCCAAGATGTGCTAATGCTTAAAAAAAAAAAAACTTAACTTGTGCTACAAGAAAACGAAAAAGAGATAATTCTCATAGTAATAAATATGACATTCGAAGCATATGGTTGCACTCAAACTGTTGGCAGTATCAAAAATACAAAAAAATCCCATTAATCATATGGGAAAGAGAAAACACCCAGGTCTAACAACTATATGAGTAAAAGTGTTCAAGGCCTTAATCCTTTAAAGAATAAAACGTGTGCTTAAAAAATTTGAACACCAAATTCTGAAACTGAAGAATATATCTAAAAACAATTTTAAAAACAAAAAATGATTAAATAATTAAAGTAACAAAGTCAAACCAAGATCTTCATTGAAATCTTCTAAATATCACTCACGCTTCCATGCAGAGGGCCATCTTGTCTGCACAAGCGGGCAAATGTTCCAAAGTCCCAAAAGAAAAATCTGAAAGGGTGCGTTCCTATAGAAACCAATTTTTAGCTAAAGGGTCCTTTGTGCTCTTATGTCTGATATTCCACAAAAGTTCACTAATCTTTCTTTTTAATTTTCCGGTAGTTTACTTTGTTCTGTGTTATTATTTATGTAGAATTATATATACATGAAATTAAAGAATCCAGTAAGATGAATACATTCCTTGAGGTCCAAAGTACAGTAACAACAAACGACTGTCCAAAAGAAAATAGCTGGGGGGGGGGGGGCTTCATCCTATAATAAAATTGGATTGTTGTACAGGAACACAAATATCAGTTTTTACAAGGCCACTGGATACATACTTAGCATGACCATAAGCAATCATAGGCTTGGACTGGCATCTAGGGATATCCTGCACCAAAACCCAATATTTAAAAATAGTTTTAATGAATCCTGTAGATATGTAATTAAATGGTAAACTGAATATTACTTTGTTGAATGTGTCAGACCTAGATTCTTTCTTTAATAATATTTCTTACTGTTGACTTTCAGCTCTCTCTCTTGCCTGTTACATAACAGATAAAGAGTACCATCTAACTATTAAATCCCACTGTAACTGGTCTCATTTTGCTACAAAATCACACTCAGAATATGAATTACATTCAGTTCTTAAAAATAGACCAAATGGTTAATTGTATCTGACATGTCTCGGGTAGCAACTATTAAACCTAAACAGATTATTATAGTCTGTATTTTTTCTTTAACTCAGAGATCCTGAACATTTAACATGTCCAAGAAATGAACCTGAGCCAGGTTGGCTTGGAGGACAAATTGAGTATTTATACCCTAGGAGTTAAATCATTTATAAAATGCATTAAGATGAGAAAAATGTCATCTTAAAATGAAGAATAAAATAGACTCAGAAAAAAGATAGGTCTGGTGATAAATAAATTTGGACTGAAAAGATCTGCAAATTGTGAAGAGCCTTATACAACGACATCAACGTTTTTAGTTGGGCTTGAAAGCTAACTGGGATCCAGAGAAGATAACATAATATTAGCATAACATGTAATATTATCGTAATGTGCAATTTTAATCTGTAATCTAGCTGGCAGTTTTCTAAGCCTACAGAGGATTTTTAAGGACAGCCTAACAAAGGTAGTTTTATAAATTGTACACTGTACAGTTGTACCCTACTTGTACACTAATCTAAAAAAGATGTTACCAAGTAAGGTCATCGACCTCAATATGTGCAAAGTGTCTCACAAAACCCTAATGACAAAAACAGATATACCTGTATCCAGATATTACAAACTTTAGGGACAGTACAATTCCTTGGCTCAACGTCATTCACTTTGACAAACTATCCACTTACCTCTGTTTGGTCCTGATTAGGCTTCATTTCAGGGAATTTTCTGTTCACTGAATAATATAGAAATATTGCTCTGAATTCTGGGGGCTATGATGTCTGATGTTGGATGAGTCACTGGCTCAACTGTTCAATGATTTACTGTTTACACTATGGGTGTGAACCTGTGGCTCTCTCCAGAGGTTGCTCCAGTAGCACCATCCAGAGTGACTTAATGGTGAGGGATTTGGGAAACTGTAATTCAGCAAAAAATGGAGGGCCATGGATTCTCCACCTCAGAGTTTTCCATAAGGCATATTGGGGAATTATGGGACTACAGATTCAGTTAAAAAAAAAAAAGAAGTGTTTTCTGCTTGAACTATTGTCATTCTTGTGGAACCAATAACAAATGTGTAATTATGGAGTAATAATCATTATCTCTCAAGTATAATTTCAAATTCCAAATGATCAATAGTTAGCGATCATATCCTTTGTGATATACAATGTAGAATCAGAGTCTCCACCTGCTGACTTGGTTGGAACTCCAAACAGGTGAAGCAGTTTGCCACAGTATTAATATTCCATCTTTGATCTGTGAACAACAGAATGTTGTCATACTTTTCAATCCCTAAAGCACTTTCATGACTGTTTTTGCTAGTGTTTTCATATCACTACCATGGAGTCTTTGAAAATTTAGTCTATGATTACAAATATATCTGCATTTCTAATAGATCCATACACTATTTCAGTCCCTTGGTGAGCCTTAAAATGAAAGTTCTTTTGCCAAACTTCTCTCTACTTCAGTCTTCAATTCTTGCAGTTTCCTCACTGCATTGGGAACAATTCACTATACAGCCATTTGTATACACCTTAACATCAGAAGACTTTCTATCGTTAGCAGTGTATACAACCCTGTGCTAATGAAGTTACCTTCAGCATATGAGGTACAAGTAAATAATACTTTTGTTGCATGAACCTTTTCAGTTGGATTGGGTCCCCAATTGAGATAAATGAATCTAGTTGCCAGCAGTCATCATGATTTTGTAGAATCATCACAGCAAGAGATGGATTAGATCTAAAGAATTTTAGTGCAGGTACTATAATCATTCCTTGCTTTAGTGAGACCACAGATCATCCTCTGAACATTGCAGCAACCATTCAAGAAGTGCCAGGAGGATGGCACTCTTGACAGATAAAAATGGAATAATTATTATTAGGAAATTAACTATCACTGGCAACTATTGCACATCTTTCATTTGGGGTATATGAATGATTGATTGATTGATTGATTGATTGATTATGTGCCATCAAGTCATTTCCAACTCCTAGCGACCACACAGATTTTCTCCATGACAATCTATCCCTAACCTATTCTTTCAAGTCTCCCAAGTGTGCACCCATCCCCACTGTAACTGAGTCTATCCCACTTGTTGCTGATCATTCTCTTCTTCTCTTTCCTTCCACCCTTCCTAGTATTAGAGCCTTCTCCAGAAAGCTGGGTCTTCGCATGATGTGTCTTGAGTGAGAACTCTGGGTCCATAAGGCATATTGTTCAATGATACATCAATCTGTTTTTTTGGCTGTCCATGGTATTCTCAGGAGTGGGATGAATCCCCCAAATTATAGCTAGAAAGATTACTTTGAAAAAAATTATGGCACAGGAAGCACCACCTGCACAATTTCATTTGGATGAGAATATATATGATTTTTTTTATCCTGCCTTTATTATTTTTATAGATAAGGTGGTGAACATCCCTAATAGTCCTTCCTCCTTCTATTTTCCCCACAACAACCATATGAGGTGAGTTGAGCTGAGAGCGAGTGACTG